TTTTGAAATTAACTATACTTAGCTGAACCTGTTTTATCAACACATGACTTCACTTTACAAGAATTATATCATTATACTGTTCCAAACAAATTTCAGAACATGTTTTACACATCTTGACATGGGCTGTACCAATACATATCAAGCCTGTTCAAGCTATTCATCCAAAGTGAATAAAATATGTGGTAATTCATAAATATATATACTACCTGTTTCTATCCAAAGAGACTTGCCAATATAAGTTGCCTTTTATAGAGAATTCATAAATGAAGCCTTCTTGCACATATGCTGCTGAGTAGTTCAACTCAAGGCTTAGCATGCAAACATCAAAATATTTATCTACATTAAATTACCTTACATGTCATTCTCCTTTGAATTATACCACAAATGAAACTCAAAATGTGAGACTACAAGGGATAACATGTGACTCACATTATTATATAATACATCATATTTAACATGTTACTTCAGTATCCTGGGAAAAAGACCTGTATTTTTAAAATAAACCCTAAAACTCAAATGCTGCATAATCACAAAATAACATGCATGAGTGCTACTTCCTTACATACGGCCGCAATCCTTTGTAAAAAATTCCCAGAAGGAATCAAGCAGTGCCGCATGTATGATGCTTTACAAAACACCTCCAAAAAACACCAAAAGGCCCCATCAAAGCCACCTTGAAGCACAAATCACATTGGGTGCTTTGTTAGCAACTGGGTAAAGCAGAACTCGGCTATATGGTAGATGGAGTTCCTGAGAGTGTTTCCCCATATCTAAGCATCAAATCCAAAGTGGCAGTGCTAAGCAATAGAACACTGGCACTGTAAAATACATGGTGCCTGATTCACACCCCAGTCAACTCTGCTGCGAGTGCCTACTAGCGTCTGTTGGGGCCAAGGTCACAGAAGAAAGGAACTAGCCGAAGTGCAGCATCATCCTGCAGCTTCGCATGTAAAGCATTATGAAATTATCCTTTAAGATATAAAACCAGCAACACAAACTTATAGCAAACTTGCAACAAAAATATTTTTAAGCCAGAAAAGATTTACAAACCACACTGACCTGATGCCATGATTAAATTTTTAAGAAATCAATATATATATATATATATATATATATATATATATATATATATATATATATATATATATATATATATAAACATACATATAAATATATATTTAAGTATATAAATGACCTTTAACCCATTTGCGACGGGTAAAAATTAACAAAAAATAGGGAAAATGCTATGCTCATTTAAAAAAAAAAAAAAAATTGTGAAATGTCTCTACACTAGATGGCTCTGCCTTACCTGATTTCATTTGGTGAGAAAATGTATTTTTACTAGTGCTATGAATATCGTTTATAACATTATAATTACTATAATGTTTTAAACATTAGCAACAGCAAAATAAGATAACATGAAGTATTTTCTTAAATTAAAGAAAAGGGTAAACAGGCGAGACAGGCAGTACAAGTACAAGTGTAGCCATCTATGTGTAAAAACAATTAAACAAGTAAACTCACAGTGGGCATGTCATGTATACATGACACCCGGCGCGAATGGGTTAAACCATAATCACATATACAGCTAAGTACCTAAGATCTGAAAGGAAGTTAATGCAAGTTGAGAGCAGTAAAATGTCTCGCAAAACATATATTTTTTGTTTTAAAAAGAGACATCAAACAACCTAAAATCACGCCTGATAATTAGCTATGCGTTTCATGGCATATACTTCAATAAGTATACTGTATCTATAATGAACTAACACTCCAACATATAAAAAGATTTATACTTCATTAAGTACAGTCACAGTAAAACAACTTTCAATTTAGTCCACATGAAAGCACCAGAGTATAATACAAGCAAAGTAACAAACTACAATAAGTATAACATACATATATACTGACTTATCCTTCAGTAAAGCGGACTCATACTTCAAGTAGTTTAATAACAAACTAAAAAATGAATTAATTATACTCCAAAAAGTAACGTCTGTTGTTTAATGCCCTGGACCCGAGTCCCTGCAGCGCGAGTGTGGGCCTAAATCCAGGCAAATATTTCCCAGAAGACGTGAAGAAGAAGACGGGCTAAGTAAGTATTATGATTTATATTTCAGTAAGGCTACTGATATATTTTTCAGTAAAAAATAAGCAAATAAATAAATAACATTACAATATAACGTAACAAGCAATGTGAAGTCTATGACAATGTATTCATGTTTTCAGTTATTGCTAGTGGCAATAGTAACTGTAGTCATAGTAGCTATAATAGAAGAAGAAGAAGTAGTAGTAATTGTAGCAGTACTAGTAGTAGCAGCAGTAGTAGTAGTAGTAGAAGAAGAAGAAGAAGAAGAAGGAGTAGTAGTAATAGTAGTAATAGTAATAAAAAAATAACAATAATTATTATTATAATAACAGCAGTACCAAAAATACTAATAACAATAATAACATCAATAATGAGAATGATGATCATAATAATATTAATAATATTAATAATATTAATAATATTAATAATATTAATAATATTAATAATATTAATAATAATAATAATATTAATAATAATAATAATAATAATAACAATAATAATAATAATGATAATGATGATGATGATAATAATAATAATAATAATAATAATAATAATAATAATAATAATAACAATAATAACAATAATAGATGACAAAAACAACAACAACAACAACAACAACAACAATAATAATAAAAAAATAATAATGACAACAATAACAATAAAAAAATATTATTATATTAATAATGATCATTACCATTACCATTATCATTATCATCATTATCATTATTACAATTTTATCATTATCATTATATTCTTTTTTTAAAGCTTTATTATAATTATTATTCTCATTATCATTAACATTACTATTGTTGTCACTATGAATATCGCCACTATTAGGATGGTCATCATTGTCAATATTCTTACCAGTTTTATAACAATCACCACCATTCTTATTACAATCATGATCAGTACAATCATTACTCTAATTTCCAAATCTATCAGTACAGCTCATTAGCTCTCCTTCTTGTCCATATTCCTCTCTTATCACTAACATTTATTTGTTAATCAGCACAAAAGTCAACCAGTTCTATTTACAACAGCTTAACCTCCCTCAGTAAAAATCGACAAGCAGCCTTTTGAATCATGTATCTCAATAGTATTATTGTAGTAATCTTCGCCGTAAAATCACGGCTTCTGAAAATTAAGTGCGAGAGTGAACCCTGAGGCACCAACAAATCCAACCGAACCTAAATTATCATAAATAAACACATAAAAACGTAATCAGAGCGACCATAAGCCATCCCCTAATCACTTGCAAGCACATGTAATGTAAGGCAGCTGAAAGTTTACGCACACTAGTAACAAATTCTTATTCCTTTTCGGCAACTTTAAATCTCAGAGAACAACCGAAGGGCAGACGACACCGCCTATCGGGATGTCTGAAATTAAGAAATGGCAACTCAACCAGCTCAGGTGTTACCAGCTAGGGATTATTATTCTCGTTTCCTTTCGAGGCGAGCAACATAAAGCACAGAATGACTCGGCAATTTAGGGGATCAGTATTGAGGCTTGACTCATGAATATACTTTTCTTTTTTTTTTTTCCTTTTTACTAGAAAGAAAAATGTAAATTAATAAGTCTATCTTAGCCTTGGTCTCCTTTTGCTACAATTTATGACGGACATTCAGAGGTAAAATGATATTCTTACAAGTTTTTATTCTACCTTTCCTTTTGTTCTTGTAGGAAGGATGTTGCATCAACAGAAATTTCTATGATGAAATACACACAGTGAGTGAATAGTAAAATTGTTCATTAATGATAGTATTCATTTATTCCTTCTCCATCACAGCAAAACCATTTAGATGAAGTACAAAGCCATAAAACTGCACAAACAAACATGCAACTTTCATTTCCCTAATTTCAGCCTAGTAAAAGAGGGTCATCGAGAGTCAAGATAATGCTATTTGCATGTCAAAATACCTAAAAGCAGAAGTTAGTAACTAATGAAATAGATAAAGGAAAACAGAATACAAAGAAAGATAAAAAAAAATAAAAAAAAAACTACATTTATATATTCTTATAAATCTTTTCTCAATATATTCCCACAGAGCCTCTTCACTAAATCCTCTCTTCTCCGCACTCCTTTGTACGAGCCCACCTTACCCCAGACCAAACCTCCCCCACCACAGAGATAAGGCAGCATGCCGTCATATGCATTGCACTCTGCACAGTGTCCGTCACAGTGAACCACCTCTGCAGCTCCTTGGTTGCACTTGGATGTTTGCCAGGGAAGCGGCTTTTTAAGGGGAAGGGGAAAGGGTGCGTGTTGGAGTCATGCTGTCTAGGTAATCAACTCCGGTCTGCTGTTTTATTCATCGAAATTGCAAGTTGACATAATTTTTCAATCTTGGCTAAGGCTCTCATCTCTTTAAAACTAACGAGTCATTCAAGCCTGCAAAGCTAAGAGATTAAATTCACAGTCATGTTTTAAACATCAAAATTACCATAACAATACTTTTATCTATCCTCAATAACTTTCTCCAAAACTTTGACATATATGACTTCAATGATGTTAACTTTATTAAGTGTAAACACTATAACTACAGATAAAATAGGTGTCCTGCAAAACTTCCCTAATTTCCCCGCAACGATGGATGATTTCCATGAATTCTCATGTCGTAGCAAACCCAACCAAGCGTATACAAATGAAGAAGAAATAAACAAGGCTATAAAGCCTTAACAACTTTGACATCTCTGCACTGCACTGGCAACAAAATCACCTTTTCCAAAAACCTTAAAGTACTTCTTAAAATCAAGTCATTTACAGCTGCAAACAGACGAAAATCTCAATACACTTCCAATGGTTCCTATTTGAGGTCAGTCCAAAGCAAAATATCATTTGCTAAACACACTTCCATCCCGTTGCAGCCCAAGCTAAAGCTCAATGAAAGATGCATGCAATATCTCCAGCTGT